TTGCCCTCTCTCAGACGACGCTTCCTTGTACTATACCTACAGAAAGCCTTCTTCTCTTGACCGAGCGGGGATCCAGACGCTCATACATTTCAGTATAAGAAAGTAAAAATAAAAGCAACAGTCTTAGCACCGCCTATTAGAAACATTTCTATGATACAAAAGCAGAAAAGGTAGAGCTTGGTTGGCTCTGTAGGCAGAGTGAGAGAGAGAGGGGAGCGTCCTGGGCTCAAAGCCTTTGTCTGCTCTTTTCAAACCGACTTGGCAGGAACCCCAGCACTCTGGCTGCACGGGGAGGGGTGGAGGCATGTAATAGTGTTCATCTCATAAATTGAAAACAGATTCAAAAACAACGTCTCTCGCAGCTTTATTGTTGAATAATGAAAGCTATGTGTTAATATTTAATAAGCGATGTGTTGCATAATTCATGCGTAATTTCAACGAGTCACCCGTACCCCCTCCCTGTCATGCAATTGGTATGTCCTGCCTCAGCTGGAACAGTGCGAACAGTTTCCCTTGGAAACCAACTTCTTACAATTCAGTTCACTTTGGGCTTTAACCCTTTGAGCGGACCACACAGGAAACACGGCAAAGGCAACTGGAGAAGCCCTTTCAGTTCGTTAACTTGGCTTGAACATTTTGTATTTCTGAATGCGATTTTGCTCTTGTTATTGTTGTTGTGAAAATACTAATGGAGCCACACATAACAGCCACAAACCAGAGTACACTGTTCTTTGTCTCCACTGAACAGCCTCTTTCTGTCTTCTCTGGTCATTTGCTGACATTATTTCAAAAACCAGAAAACACACTTACATTTGAACTTTAATTAATTTCAACATGTTTTATTGGCTTGGCATTTGGCACAGTGCTTCCAAAAGTGGTGGGAGAACTACTCGGATCCTTAACTTAAGAAAAAGAAGAATACCACAGTGTGAACAATTATTTGTTAGAATTAAAAGTCCTGTGTTCACATTTTCACTTATATAAAAGTTCAAAAGTATTAACATCAAATTATTTCCACCACTGGTTGCCAAAACCTCAGGCCAGTGATTACATTTTGTGTCAGTGTGAACAATATGATTGTGTGTTTCTCCATGCAACAACACTCCAAATAACTATTTGAAATTATAATATGAGACCTTTTTAAAACATATGGTAAATGTTTGTTGTTACAGTGTTCATAAAAGATATTGTATGCAAACAAAGTATATAATTTTTATGAAAAGGGTGGGGTGTCCTTACATGACCATGGTGACCAAATAATCTCTGAAGTGCTAAAAACATCTCATAAGTTTCATTGTTCTTATGTATCTTTCATAAAGAACCAAAATAACTTTGAAGCAGTTGTCTTACATCTGGTACTGTTTACATTTTAATACTTGAAGCAAAGACAAATTTCTGTCTTTATTTGTATTTGTGCATGTGTGAAGCCACAGGCAAGAGAACATAATGTATGTCCGTGCATATGTGGCCTTTGCATGTGAACAGTATATTTTTAAATGCTTGCATCACTCCCTCTCACAGGGTTTGGTGTCTATGTGTGTGTGAGAGAGAGATAATATGACAGGGGAGCCGTTTGCCAAAGCCAGTGGAGTATGGCAGAGTAGTTGAGAAGAAGAGCTGATGAGAAACATAGAGGCAGAGAGAGACCGAGCAATAGGAAGAGCGAGACAACAGTGATCAGCTGAGGATAACGGACAGGGAAAGATTTTGGTGTGACAAGCAGCCATGCACAACTGACAGCGACTCTTTTCACTACTTTCCCTCTCATCCTCTATGTTCTCCTTCCTCTGAAAGAATAAATTTGGTTGGATGCTGTAACTGTTCCTATCCCTTCCTGACAGCAGTATAAGAAATAGATAGCAAATTCCTGCTTCAGTCAGTGCAAAATTGCATTCTTAAGTTCAGCCAAAGCTGGTGTTAGATTTATATTAGTCACATAAAATGAAAACCTTCCAAAGTTACAGTCTTAGCACAAAGTTCCCTTTTTTTGTTACTACTGATCACTCAAAAATGGTTTTCTTCCCCACATGTCCTCTCTATGCTTAACCCCATATCTGTGTTTTTATCCTGTCTCTCTGGCCATCTCCTATACACTTCCCTGTTTTCTTTTCTTTCTCTCTTGACATTCTCTTTTTCTCAACTCAAATGTGCAGATCACATAGGTCACAGTAGTTTTTTCCCCTCCCTCTCATATATACATTATTGGGTGTGTTTACATGACCAAGAGCATCCTGGTTATTAACTGCCCTGGTTTTGATCATATTTGTCATATGGTGTTTACATGGAGCACAGAGAACTCTAGTTATGCATATCCACATATACATGACAGAAGTATCCTGGTTATCGATGACTAGTTAATCTCCAGCCTCCTTGTGTGGACCATCTTCTACATCTAGGCTATCGATATGGATATATTATAATTAGGAGCACGTATCTTAACGGTATTTATTAGTTTTTTTCTTAATGAAAAAAACGTACATATGCAGTAATATTAATGAGCATTAAGCAACTTAATGCTGCCTGGAACTGATATTGGGTTAGTATCCACTGGACAGGGAAAGCTGATGTCAACTATTTCATCCTCTATAGTAGAAGGTTGACAGTGACCAAGCATGTCAACCAATATTTTGAAAATTTTGAAAGTTGTTGGACTAGACCCACATGAGTGACATGAATAAAGGGTCAAATACAGTGAATGTACAGATTCATTCATTCATTCATTCATGAATGAATGTGCAGATATGCAATAAAATAAAATAAAAAATATATACAGTGTACATATATACAATATATATAT